TACTTTATTTACACACACCCAAGGGAGACGAGAGAGCGAGGGGAAAAGCTGAGCGCACTGAGTGTTAAACTGTAGTCACTATAAATGTTTGATGCTCGAACTCCTCTGCGTGGTCCACTTGATTATTCTGACCCAGCAGTCACAAGAGCCACACACACAGACACACACAGACACACACAGACACACTGACCTTCACTTAAAGCCGGAGGAGGAGCAGCAGAGGCTGTGACGGAGGTTTTGATAGACGCGCAGCCACAGGAGAGGAGGTGGCGAGGGTTTGTTGACGAGACAGGCCACACTGCTTCAGGTAGCTTCTGTTGTTGGGATGCTGCACAGAGACACCCGTAAGCAAACCCACATTCAAACTGATTTGTGTGCAATAATCTGGGGAAAATGAGGATTTTCAGTCGCTTTCACTACGTTTGGTATCTGGTGAGTGCATCCGATAAGAACTTGTAAAGCATGTGTTTGTGTCTGTGGCTTCTTACACTTGCATCCGTGACCGATTCTCCTGTGTTAGCATTAGCAAAAGCAATGTTCTTCTCTCTGTGTCTCGCTGTGTGTTTGTGTGTGGTGTTTTAGGAGGTGACAGAGCTCCACTTTTTACCAGACTACAGCAACTTTTGCGCTTGGAGGTCGACCTCTGTACGTAGAGTCAATGCATCGATTGTCGGCCTTTCATCTCCTCCCCTGCATGCGTTGCAGGACCTCATTACAGTGTTTGTGCAGTTATCTGCATCTCTCTGTTTTCTTACTCTGAAGTGTAGCACATGCATTAGTGTTGCTAATGCAGCTTGTTTCATTCTGATGTGTCATCGTTATTGTCAGTGTCTGCGTCACTGAAGTCTTCTGGTTTAATGCCGGGGTTTTTTCTTTTCTACATATTTGTTTTGTTTTGCGTTTTTTTTATAACTTTTTTTCTTTACTTCTTAGATAATATATTTAAAATCAGGAACTAAGAACAAGCCCCTATGAGCTTTGTTTCAGCCACTACCTGTTTTTAGGTTTATGTCATGGGTTTGACGA